ATTAAGAAGTTGAAAATTTGGAGAGTAAGGAAGTTAAACTTTTAGATACATTATGCATTCAGATCCTTGATTATGTAGATCATAATCAGATTACAAATTCAGTGAAAATACAAGTTTATCATATTTGAACTGTAGGGTGCGTCACGAGTGCGTCACGATATGAAAGAGAGTTTAGAGAAGCTCTGGAACAATAATTCTTCTCATACATTGACTTAATTAATATATTTTATAATACAACAATTTTGATGGTGCATCACAAGTGCGTCACGAGTGCGTCACGATATGACAGGGAGTTAAATGAAGATCTGAAACAATAATTCTCCTCATACACTGACTAAATTAATGTATTTTATACGACAACAATTTTCAAGGTGCGTCATGAGTGCGTCACGATATGACAGACCACTAAATGAATAAATGAATGAATAAATTAATACAACAATATTCCAGCAAGATCTGAGAACAAATAAATAAATTCTCCTCAAAATTTTTGATGAAACAAATGTTTGAAGCTTGAATATTTGAACCTAACAATTCTGCCCATGTTTTTGGAACACCTTATATATACAAGGTACACGTATGCTCGTAAAACACATACATGCGCCTTGTTCCTTCCGTTGTTCCCTTTCGGCTCGACACACGCTCTCCCTTTCTATTATTCCGTCCAATATATTTCATATCTTGTAGTCGCACCCGTGTGTACGTTGCAACTGCATACTTTCATACTCTGTTTCATTCCGCGAATTCTTCCTTGGAAATTACCAACGGTATTCGATAGCGTCATTGATCCTCGATCTTCTCTTTTGCTTTTCGGAAATTCGAAAACTTGTCTTACAACTTGATTGTTGTGCAAAACTTCTGATATCTGATTCTCTGTCAGGGTATTTCGGAGTCTTTAATCTCGTTCTTTAGCATTCTTGACAATCGACTTGACGGTAGGGTAATTTTCACCCCTTGATGATATTAATAATAATTAACTTTCAGTATGTGGCAACAAATTTGTATTCAAATATTTGTACTTCTATTTGTACTTAAACTTGTCTATAATTAAATAATGCTATGGTGTATGGAAATACAATCTATTAAAATTTGAGGTACTTAGAAGGTTAATGTAACGACATACAACCTGTGGAAATATGGTGCGTGGAGGTACAGTGCGTGGAAATATAGCGTAGGGAAGTGTAACGCGTGGAAATACTGTGCATGGACAAGTTCAACTTGTGGAATTATAGCGCGTGGAAATACCACGCATGGAATAATAACCCATAGAAATTTAGAACGCTTGGAAATTAAATTTGTCCGAATACAACGCGTAGAAATATAGCGCGTGGAAGTAGGACGCGTGGAAATACGGCGCGTGGAAGTTCAACGCGTGGAATTATGGCGCGTGGAAGTACAACGCGTGGAATTACGGCGTGTGGGAGCTCCACGCGTGGAATTAGGGCGCGTGGGAGTTCCACGCGTGGAATTATGGCGCGTGGGAGTTCCACGCGTGGAATAATGGCGCGTGAAAGTACCACGCGTAGAATTACGGCGTGTGGGAGCTCCACGCGTGGAATTAGGGTGCATGGGAGTTCCACGCGTGGAATTATGGCGCGTGGGGGTTCCACGCGTGGAATTATGGCGCGTGGGAGTTCCACGCGTGGAATTATAGTGCATGGGAGTTCCACGCGTGGAATTATGGCGCGTGGGAGTTCCACGCGTGGAATTATGGCGCGTGGGAGTTCCACGCGTGGAATTATGGCGCCTGGGAGTTCCACGCGTGGAATTAGGGCGCATGGGAGTTCCACGCGTGGAATTATGGCGCGTGAAAGTACAATGCGTGGAAATACGGCGCGTGGAAGTACCAATCGTGAAAATACGGCGCTTGGAAGTACAGTGCGAGGAAATACAGCGAGCAAGGAAGTATAATACGTGAAACTATGTCGCATGTATAACACGTGAAAATACGAAACTTCCTAAATTAAAATAAAAATGAATAAAGCAAATAGGTCACCCTAAAAAAGTACCCAATTATATTTTGACTAAAATGAAACATCTGACCACATGTTTCAATGTAAAGAATTCATGAAAGACTGGATTAAATCACAAAACGTAAACCGCAAAATGAGGCGATTAAAATAAATGATCATCGAATTTGTAATGAAATGATTCTCATGTCCAGCGATCAAAAGGTAAATTTTGCAATCTCTCTCGTAATTCAATAATGGTAGCATGCGCGAACGAAAAGAGTTGATTTAAAATTAAGTTGAAACGACAAATTTGATTTAGTCGAATATTAATCGGGAATTTCGTATAATGAATTTTGTGCAAACGAATCGAGAGACGAATGCGATAGACTTTGATCCACAGCTGACGAGATAAGGCAATTTTTAATTCTTCCTGTAAACATATATTGCTTAATGATATTCTAACATGAATTGCATGCTGCATGGATTATCTTACTGAATGCTGAAAAATTCTGCGATATCACTTAATATAAAATAAAAATAAGCTGAACTTCCAAAAATAAAAATAAGGAGCAGTGTTATGAAATAAAAGTTGATAGAACTGAGGAAAATGTGAAAATTTGTCGGTGACGTTAAATTTATCTAACTGATTGTAAATGGCACAGTAATAATTCTTGCTATCGTACAATAACAAAGTGACATAGCAACGCAATGATTCAACTTATACGAGGAAAATTTCCCGTTTGAATTTAAAAATCAGCGAATTTTCCATTACCGCAATTTCCGTCGGTCTTGTACCGTTTTACCTCCAGGAAATGAAAGATAAGGACCGAAACGACAATTGTTGCACGATATTATCGAAACATTTTCATTAATGTACCGACTCGACCGATTCGTTGTGTTTTTGTTATCGGCGAATCCCGGGAGAAGAATGTGGATAGACTCGTCGAAATTAAAAGATAAAATAAGAACAAAGGAGTCCAATTTCGCTCGTACCATTGTTGCGTTTAACATGGAGTACTTGTTGAAACGAGGGTGGAAAAAGGAATAACAAAGGCCGGATCAAAAATATACTAGAAAATTGTTTTTCAAACGTTCATATTTACCCGTGTATCTGGAGAATCGTTAAGCGTTAATGGCTCTTAAGTAACGAGCCATGACCCCTGTATGAACCGGTGAACTAGGTCAATTGAAAAGATTTAAACTTCACGAGTGAAACTTCAACGTAAACGATCGATTTTCCGGGGCATTAAAAATTCTTGTAAAATCTTCACTTTTTTGGTGGTTGATTATGGAGGGAATGGTGAATGTTGATCTTTTCAGGAATATTTTGTTTGGACAATGGCGCAGTAAAATGGTGCTTTGTTCAGCACAGTTATTTTAAGTTTATTAATGCAGATTATTAGTGGAGCTTATTTATTAAGTTTATTAACGCAGCTTATTAATGGAGCTTACTTATTAAGTTTATTAATGCAGCTCATTAATGGAGCTTATTTATTAAGTTTATTAATGCAGCTTATTAATGGAGCTTATTTATTAAGTTCATTAATGCAGCTTATTAATGGAGCTTATTTATTAAGTTTATTAACGCAGCTTATTAATGGAGCTTATTTATTAAGTTTATTAATGCAGCTTATTAATGGAGCTTAATAATGGAATTTATTTATTAAGTTTATTAAGGGAGCTTTGTAAATGAAATTTTAATGTCAAGATTTATTATTGAGTAATATATTGAAGTATAGTTGGGCAATATTAAATTTGAATACTGGAGGAGTGGATTATTGAAGGGGTAGAAAATTAGGAAAATAGGAACTAGGTTATTAGAATATTAGGGTAGTAAAATATTAGAAAAAGAGAATATTAGAGTATTAAAATATTAGGAAAGATTATTAGAGTATTGGAAAATTGAAATAGTAGAATTTTGAAATATAAGGGAATAAAGGGGTAGAAAATTGGAAAATTAGGATATTAGAATATTAGAGTAGTAAAATAATAGAAAAAGAGAATATTAGACTATTGAAATATTGGGAAGGTTATTAGAGTATTAGAAAATTGAAATAATAGAATTTTGAAATATTAGGGAATGAAGGGGTAGAAAGTTAGAAAATTAGGGTATTAGAATATTAGAGTATAAAAATATTAGAAGACTGGAATATTTGACTGCTAGAATATTAGAAAGTAAAATATTGGAATATTGGAAAATTAAAATATTAAAATATTCAGTGCTCAAAAATTAGAAAATTAAAATATTAGAATATCCATTACTCAAAAACCAGAAAATTAGAGTACTGGAATATTAGGAAATTAAAATAGTAGAATTTTGAAATATAAGGGAATGAAAGGGTAGAAAATTGGCAAATTAGGGTAATAAAATATTAGAAAACTTGAATACTTGACTGTTGGAATATTAGAAAGTAAAATATTGGAATAGTGAAAAAATAAAATATTAGAATATTGGAATATTAGAAAATTACAATATTAGAATATCCATTACCCAAAAACTATAAAATTAGAATACTGAACTATTAGAAATCCAAATAAAAACACTGAAAAAAATAATAAATAACAATATCATCTACATTAAATATTCAAATCTTCAAATATTAATAAAAAAATAAATATCACTCATCCACTAAAAAATAATAAATTCCCAAATATCCAGTAACTAGAAATAATAAAATAATAAATAATAAAAACAAACATCACTTATCCAATTATAAATAATAAATCCCCAACCAACCAACTCCAATTAATTCCCCAAAAATTCGAACAATTCCTAAATTCCTAAATTCCCAAGTTCCCTACTCTAAACCTTCCAGATCATTCACTAATAATTAATTAATGGCGTCGATCACTGATCCCACGTCATTCACGTTAAAATTAAACCTCCCTTTATGAAACACTTCATCCCCTGATCACTAAAGCGATCTAACACACCCGATATAACGTCTTCTTCCTTTTACGTCACATTTTTTACGTCATTGTCGGTTCATTTTCAGTATAGCTCGCTCGCTCCCTCTCCCGCGCAATTTGAACTCGCGCTCTTTGTCCCTCTCTTAGCAACGTCATGTCAGCAACGTTACTCCATTTCACTACGTAGTCAGTGTTCTACTGACTACGCTGTGGAGTAGACGTTCTCTTATAATCAGTGAATAACAATTTCGAGGTAGGTGAACACTGTTTATTATTCCATCCTTTTGTTCAAATTCTGTTCGTGTTCTGTTCAAATACAATAATAAATAGTGTGGTTTACGTGAGAATATCAGAGTGCACGCAACGACGCAGTATGTGATTTCATTGTATTCAAGGTCGCTCAAAGACGACTATTTCAGTGTCACTGTTTTTAATCGATCGAAACGTACGTTTGCGAAATTACGTGAGGCGTTTTCGTAAAATTCCTACGAGGCTCTTTGAGGTTAGGTATTTCCAAGGACGGAATTGATTGAGGTTAGGAAGCGTGAGCGAGAAGGATAGCTGTAAAACTGGTTTTCCTCGCTGTGATTCTTCGTCAAATTTATTACTTCGATTATTGAAAACTTTTATACTACGCTTAATAACAAGCTTACTTGAAAAATATTGACTCTTATCAGTTTGTAAACATTTCTGTGTTCGACATTTCGTGAACTCTGAAATCTCGCGCGTTTTCGTTATTATTTTTTTAATCTGTCATCGATTGTTCTGGAAGAGTGACACATAAGTTTCTGAAATATTTGTTACTATTACTTGGAAAGTGAATCATTTTGTGAAATGTGTAATTGATTAGAGATTTCAGGAATTCAAGGTTTTTAGACAAATTTTTAATAATATTTTTACATTGTATTTTGAGTAAATAATATACTGTATTATGTACGTGTTTGTGTACTGTATTATATACATATTAATATACTGTATTATATTTAGAATAATTAAACAGTAAGAGAATATTTTATTTAAAAATTTTAATGTATTTTAATATAAATAAAAATGTAATGAATTTTGTTGTAAAAATAAATGATTAATATACAAATTTTTGTTACAGAAAATGTTTAACTTCGGCATCCTCTTGGCAACGATTTTGCTCGCCTCATCGATTCAGGATGCAGCGTCCTACACCAGTAAGTAATTCACTATATACGTAATCATAAATTTCGAGCGTTAAGAAATATTTGCAGTGAATCAATTTTAATTCCATTGAAAGTTTTCTCTGGTATCGTGAAATAATCGGAACGGTGTCGTAATTCGATTGCAGTGGCCAATCGTTTGGTTTGATCGGCATTAATCGAAGCTAATGAAAATAAACGATGGTGTTTTAATCTCTACCTCGACCGCCGTAATTACATCGACCTTCGTCGTAATCGTCGTCTTTGTCCTCTTCCTCTTCCTAACCTTGTTAAACAGGGAAAAAGGAAACTGCGGAAAGAAACCATAAGATTAAACAAATAGATAATAGTTTCGCAACGTTCGAGTAAGATTCTCATATAAATAAACCAATCGTGAGTCAAGATGCCGGCCATCTTGTTTTATCATGGAATGCAAAATGTCTTCCTCAAAATTTCAAAATTGAAACTTCCTCTAAATGTTTAGAATTAAACAAGATTTCCGTAGATTTTTAAATAGAGAAATATGCATATTTACGAGTTTAACAATTTTTAACAGTTTCATTAGTATTTAAACAAATAGATAATAGTTTCGCAACGTTCGAGTAAGATCCTCAAGTAAATAAATGCGTCAATCGTGAGTCAAGATGGCGGCCATCTTGTTTTGTCATGGAATGCAAAATGTCTTCCTCAAAATTTCAAAATTAAAACTTCCTCTGAATGTTTATAATTAAACAAGATTTCCATAGATTTTTAAATAGAGAAATATGCATATTTACGAGTTTAACAATTTTTAACAGTTTCATTAGTATTTAAACAAATAGATAATAGTTTCACAACGTTTGAGTAAGATCCTCAAGTAAATAAATGCGTTAATCGTGAGTCAAGATGGCGGTCATCTTGTTTTGTCATGGAATGCAAAATGTCTTCCTCAAAATTTCAAAATTAAAACTTCCTCCAAATGTTTATAATTAAACAAGATTTCCGTAGATTTTTAAATAAAGAAATGTGCATATTTACGAGTTTAACAAATTGTTAACGCTTTAATTCGTATTTAAATGATGTATAATGGTATTTATCGAGGAAATGAATAAATGCGTTCGCTTGAGGGAAATTTCAAAATCCGTTGTTCATCTTCGGACCGTTAATAGGCATTATAATTAGCGTTTATCGTATCAGGATGATCGTTAAGCAATGGTTTTACGTAATCAAGAAGCACTTGTTAGGAACTGTGAGGAGAGACACCTTTTTCAGACGCATCCAGATCCTCTTTAGCAGCAGAACTGCCTCGTTAATCGCTTCCACCGAGTTAACAATTATTGTTCCACCCTTTTCGTGCTGTCATGCGATTCATTCGCCAGTTTTCTGCGACTGCAATAAATTTGCTCCACCGTTTTCCCTTCATTTTTCTACATTGTAAATCATTGCTATAGTTTCCTTGTGGAGCCTTCTATGAATCATTTGTGCGGGAATAATTGTGGTTTTTAAGCGGGCAAGTTTGATATGGAGCTGTTTTACCATTTAACTGTTTGTGAGATTTATTTACTTCTTATATGAACATAAATATTTATATGAATTTAATTTATATGTTACATAAATTTATTTGTATATTTGTATTTACATTTATATATTTATTTTTATAATTATTTTTATATTATGTTTATTTATTTATTTATTTATTTATTTTCATATTTATGTTCACATTATGTTTGTATATTTATTTATTTATTTTTATAATTATGTTTAGATTATGTTTATTTATTTATTTAATTATTTGTATATTTATGTTTGTATCATGTTTATTTATTTATTTATTTATTTGTATACTTATATTCATATTATGTTTGTTTATTTATTTATTTATTTGTATATTTATGTTTAGATTATGTTTATTTATTTATTTATTTCTTTTTATCTTCATGTATATATATCTTATATATTTTTCTAAGTACTTAAATGTTTAAAAATCAGCAGAATTTTAATTATTTAAAAACACACAGTTCAATAACTTTGAAATAAGAATAAAAAGCAGTAAAACTGGGATGATGGTTCAGCATAATAATTCACGGGAATAGTGCTTCTGTATCGACATTAAAGTTCAGTAAAAATAAAGGTATTTCATTGGCAGCAAGGAAATTTGTTGGTTCGAAACTTAATCAAAACTTCAGCGAATAATTATTTGGCCTCATAAAACTTGCCGTATCGAAGTTGAAAACTTAATTTCTGGTCGATCTTGTGTCCGCGAAACAGCCGAAGCTTTCTAAAAGCTATGGAAATAAAATTTTTTAAATTATTCCCCAAACTTTTCGCTTAAAATTTTCCCCTGATTTCACCGTGATCGACGGTAAATTTAATGGTAAATTTAATGGTAAACGTTTGAGATTAATTATTATATTAATAGAAGTACGTCGAAAAATGTGTACACTACATAATTACAGTAATTGTAGGGAGAAATTACGAGTAATTAGTTTAAATTGTGAAATGCATTGTTAGCAACGTGATCAGCGAAACTTGCACGGCAATTAAAATTATGCAACGGGTAATTTTTGTGTCCTTCAAAATGTAATTAAAGAAGCAATCTTGTTAAGTATTTTTTGTTTCTGTTGGCTTTCACGGTTTTATTAAACAGGGATGCTGTGTGGTACATGGAAAATTTAACCGCCGTCAGATTGCGTTCAATTAATTAAATCAAATTAATTGGCTAACCTTAATTACAAGGTCTGCGGAATCAATTACATCCCAGAATTTAATTTGATCCCTTATTTACTAATTTGCATATTTAGGAAATTGAATATTTTCGGAGTTGGAGGTTCCAGGGTGTTGAAAGATTTGTTATTTTTGGAAGGCTGGTATTTGGTAATTTTCGTAATTCGGGTAAATTGTAACGTGTACTAGTATTTTGTAGTTTTGAATATTAAATCTATTTTTAATGTTGAATCATGTCTCCTGTAAAGATGGACGAAAGTGAAATATTAACAAATAACTCTTGTCAAATTATTTCAACAACAATATATATAAAAAAATTAACTTGTGTAAATTTGACCATCTACTGATATTTTAAGGGGAGCAATTCCTGAAAAGACTCAAATTTAATTGTACCTTAAGGGTGGCAATACCTTTAGACAGATTAAAATAAGCTGATATTTGTGAATTTTTTTTATAGGACACCTTTGTTTTGCATTTTCAAAATTTCAGGTATAATTTATTATAACTATTGCCTATTACAGAATATTTTCTGTTTTGCAAAATATTTCAAAATGCCGGAATTATGACAATCCTTTCTGGAAATGTTTTGGCGTGTCTCGTGAATCGACGTGGGTTCTAGCTTGAGATATATTGGTCTGAAGCAAGTTTGCAGACAATGTTTCGAAAACTAACATTCGCAGTTAGTAGATGAACCTCAGAAATGTGCAAAATATGTAAAATTGAAGAAATGGCGCTTTTAAAGAAAAACTTTGAATTCTATCGAAAATTTTTGCAAAGTTTTGCAATAAAAAGGACTTTAATCTTCAATTTATTTCACACATTTAGGTTCATATGTTAGATAGTATTGTCATGGATATGTGCAAAAAATTTGAGCGCGATTGATAAACTAGTTTTTGAGTTATCGGAACATTTTGAAAATTTTGAGACAATATTTTTAAGATGTTACACTAACATTTTATAGAAAAAAGAAATTTTGTAATTTTTTAAGATTCTAAAGGTATTGCCCCTCTTAATAGATTTCAAAAACGAATCAACCCTTAAAATTTTCAACCCTGAATGTCTCCTGCAAAAATGAATAAAACTAATGGAAATATTATAAAAATGAAAATATTAGAGGAATGAATGAAATAAAAATTGAACCATGGAATACCAATAAATGATAAAAGCAGCAGAAAAGTGGTGATTTTCTGCAACATATTTACGTCGTCGAAGGCACGCGTCGTAACGACGCTAATCGTGATTCTATTCAAGCACCACAGCGTCATCCCCATATAACCCCATCGATTCTCAATTATCCAGTAGCAAGGGGAAGGAGACATCCAGGAATAGAAGGGAAAACGGAAAAGATAAGGTCGAGAAAGAGGAGCAGCTGGTGAGTTAACGCCCAGCTTCGTGTTACCCACATCTTCCCGTGTATTGTATGTGCGTGTTAGGGGACGTACGAGGAAATGAAGCAAAAGGGTGTGGACGAAGTTGCGAAAGGAAATATTAAAACTAGGCTAATGATCCTGCCTCTAATTGTCCTTAAACGTTGATCGTGTCCAGAAATAAAAGGAAAGATGAATGGCAAGAGAAAGGAACAATGGAGGTATTGTACAAAAGTTAAGTGGGATTTTAACCCTCTCAGGACGCTGAACCTAAATTATAAGCTTCACGTTTAACGGATGCTTCTTCAAATTTCTGCATCTTTTATGGGGGCGTGAAATGTGCAATGTGGGACTTCATCTGCTTCGTAAAATACGAGCATTAAAAATTTTTGTGTATCTAGGACTTTTGAAGCGACTTCTTAAATTTTTACATTCAATTGCTGAATAATTGAACTGTTAGGTTTGTGAATTTATACATTTTTTATGGCTTAATTGTAAAATTTATGGATTTGGAAGGTCGTAAGGTACCAAGCTTTAAATTCACAATTTTTTAAATAGGCAAATTCTTAAATCACCAAAGTCAAAAATTACTAAATTCCTAAATTACAAAATCCCTAGCAAGGACCATAATAATAGAAATCTCCCGACATCGAAGTTTTTAATTATTTACTCGCGGTTGGCTGCGAAGTTTTATTAATTAATTCTGTTCTCTCGAAACATTTCAGCGTGCAGATTGTCGAAAAAATAATTTGGTTAATGTTGCCTCTGACAATTTATTCTCCGATCCATCACGGTAATAGAAGTAGCTTTTTTGTTTGGAAGTCTCATTCGGGGAATTAAATTCATCAAATCATAAAAAAATTGTAACTTCAGATCTCCATTTTGGTTGAGTTCACTTGTTAAATTTTATTAAAACATTTACTGATTTTGTTTTTTGTGTAGATGGGTGTAGATACATCTAGATAAATGTAGATAAATTAAATATAAATGAATGTAGATGATTTTAGATGATTTTAGATAATTATAGATGATTTTAGATAGTTATAGATGGTTTTAGATAATTATAGATGATTTTAGATGATTTTAGATGATTTTAGATGATTATAGATGACTACAGATGATTGTAGATGATTTTAGATGAGTTTAGATGATTATAGATGACTACAGATGATTGTAGATGATTGTAGATGATTGTAGATAAATGATTTTAGATTGTTATAGATGACTCTAGATAAATATACATAAATGTAGTACAGATGAATGTAGACGATTATAGATGAATATAGATAAACATAGATAAATAAAAACAAACCTAGATAAATATACATGAATATAGATAAATAAAAATAAGTGTATATAAATATATTTTCTTTCTAACCCACCGCCATAAAATATTAAAATTAACGTTCGTTTCTGTAAAAAGAAACGTCCCTCATGACTCACGAAAGTCCGCAAAGCGTAATTCGTTGGAAAACACCACACGATCGCGTGTAAATATTAAATGACATTAGTTCCGAAAGTAGGCATCGTTTACGTGCACTTTTCACGCGATCCAAAATTAAAGTGCCGAAACGACCCATTCTATCAGAAGCTCCCGTATAAATTCCATTTATGACGTCTTCCAAAGCGAACTTTTAATGAACCATATCCAATCGCAGGATCATGGCTTATTACTTCAACTTTCGCCACTAAACGAAAGCTCTATCCTCTGTCCACAGAGTATGGAAGGACATGCAAGGACATCGGTTGCAGAAGGGACGAGGTCTGCGTGATGGCCGAGGATCCCTGCTCGATCTACCAACGCGATAACTGTGGTCGTTATCCTACTTGCACGAAAGCTCATCCAGGCGGTAAGAACCCGATTCTCACTATGTCATCTTGATCGTTGGGAAATAAAATTGTTTCACATTTTTTGGAATTGTGTGTGTTTAGAGTTGTGAAACTTTTTGATGTTTGATTTGGAATTTAAATGGCACTTACATGTTCACTAATTTAGTTAACCTTCTTAAAGGTAGACTTTAACCTTCTTAATAAAATCAAATTGTATGCGAAATTAGTATTGAGATGATATTCTGTCGTTGTGCATCAATTGATAATGTGGTAATATCAAATATCATGTCATTACTGTTGAACTTCTGCAAAGTTACCAGACTTGGTCTGTATGGAATAATTTTATGATCAAGTCTTGAATGAAATCAGAACATTTATGCATCAAGGGTATTGTTTGAATAGTAACAAGTTTTACGGACTTGTGATAAGTACTAGCTATTTTACATTGACACAGGATGTCTCACAACTAGTGTAGGTCCCTGAAATGGGAGGTAGCTGACGTGAATCTGAAGGATTATGACACTTGATACCTGAAACCTGATACTCGGACCTTGAAACGTGATATTTGAAACCCGACACTTGATACCTGAAACCTGATACTTGGAACTTGATATTTGAAACCTGACACTTGATACCTGAAACCTGATACTTGTAACTTGATACGTACTTTCAACGACCAGACTTGTAACTCGATACTTGAAACTTGATATTTGAAACCTGATACTTGATACCTGAAACCTGATACTTGGAACTTGATATGTACTTTTATTTTGCTGCGTACTTGGTGACTCGAGAGTGACTCTTCGAAGAATTTTTACGTTTCACAAAAGCTCGGAGTGGGCTAACAATTTTTGTGACACTGCCGAGGGAAAACAGTTTCTGATTTTCTATCGGTTTAGCTAAAATTCCGGTTTAGCTAATATCGGTTTAGCTAAAATTCGGCTGGAGATGTAAATACGAGTGAATAATTCAAAAACGAAGCTTCAAACCCCATTTTTGCAAAGGGAAATCTTATTCAGAATCACGTCAGCTATCCCTCATTTTAGGAGCCTACTTAACTTCTACTATAATTTTGTGATGCTTTCAGATCAATTATTACAAGATTATTAACTTAACATTGACTATGAAAATTCAAATTTATTACCAAGTACAAGTCTTCACAATTTCCTTCGAGTAGCAAATGCATCACGTAATACGTAATAAAATGAACATAATCTGTGCTCGTTCCAAGTAATCAAGTCGATAACTGCAAGCTAATATTTTTGGAAAATAAATCCCTCGACAGCAAAAATTGATTTCATTACATCGGTTTACCTCAGATTCAAGCTCTCTCTGAATCGCGATTTACGGTTCATTTTATATAGAAAGCCTGATGATATTTCTATCGACGTTTATATTTCCATGAATGCGAGATTAATTAAATTTTATACGGACATTCGATATTTCTCGTAACGTGCACCTGTATGCTGATGTCATTTTATGGTGCCACGTAATGCAATAATGTTGTATCATTTGCAGTACTTTTACCTTGATACTTCCATTGTTAAGAATTTATCTTTTATTATCTTTTCTGATGTGTTCTATCATTTGCAGTACTTTTGCCCTGGTACTTGTATTATTTAATTTGAATAATTATTCTGAATATTGCCTTTTATTGTCTCTTTTGCTATGTTTTATTTGCAGTACTTCTGCCCTGAAACTTGTATTATTTAGTTTAAATAATTATTCTGAATATTACCTTTTATTGTCTCTTTTGCTATGTTGTGTTTGCAGTACTTTTGATCTGATACTTACATTATCAAGCTTGAAATATTTACCTTGAATATTAATTTTTATTATTTCTCCTGCTATGTTCTGTCGTTTGCAGTACTTCTGCCCTGGTACTTGAATTATTTAATTTGAATAATAATTTTGAATATTACCTTTTATTGTCTCTTTTGCTATGTTGTATTTGCAGCACTTTTGATCTGATACTTACATTATCAAGCTTGAAATATTTACCTTGACTGTTACTTTTTATTATTTCTCCTGCTATGTTGTATCATATGCAGTATTTTTACCCTCATACTCCCATAATTTTTTAATAATTTTCCTCAAGTATCTTTTCTGACATATCCCCTATAATTAATTACATTAGTGAACAAATCCATGCTTATCTATTCGTTAGCCCACAGTACAATTCCCCCGAAATTCTGCCATAATTAGAGCATTGTATATCCACAATGTTGCACTAATTATTGATAGCTCCATTATCCTTCAATCAATTACGAGTACGTTAAACCTTCCCGCAGTGTGCGTAAGTTGCACTACACGCTTCATACGTCCAATAAATACCCATAAATGTCCCTTCATAAATGTCCATTTCGATGTAACATTTCAATACGTTCAATTGATCGAATCACCGATGTAACCTTCTTTGCTCTGTTATCAATGCAAACTCGCCGCTAATTCGCGTTTCTTTCGCAGAGGCCAGCTGCGCGAGCACCGTATGCGGGGAGAACGAGTACTGCAAAACGGAAAACGGTTTGCCCACCTGTGTGAAGAAATCGACCGCAATCGGTGAGTTTTTGCTTTCCCATTCACGCATCTTTTATTCGTTGTTACCCTATGAAATTGATTATGCATGTACGTTAGCTCGGCATGAAAATCACAAAGCGCGGCCGGGTAAAATGCATGAAACAAAATTATACGGTTCAAAGGGGCATACAATAGCGACAGAAACGAGTGGTCATTGTATGGTACGCAATTTTGCTTTCAATTACGCCGGTCAGTACGATTCGAATTTCCGTTATGATCAGTCGGAATCTGGGGATTTATGGATATGGCTATTGAGGAATCTGGGGGTTTGTGGATGTAGCGGTTGATTCTGGGGATTTAGGGGTACTGTTGGGGGATATGGGGGTTTAAGGGACATGGGGGTTTAAGGTTTATGCAGGTGTCTTTAAATATAGAAATGTGGGGTGGTGTGAGTTATGGGGTGTCAAGGTTTAAGAATGTGGGGATTTGGGGATAGAGTGATCTAGGGATATAGTGGTTTAGGGGTATAGTGATCTAGGGGCATAGTGATCTAGGGATATAGTGATCTAGGGATATAGCGATCTAGGGGCATAGTGATCCAGGGGTATAGTGATCCAGGGATATAGTGATCTAGGGGCATAGTGATCTAGGGGTATAGTGATCTAGGGATATAGTGATCCAGGGGCATAGTGATCTAGGGGTATAGTGATCTAGGGATACAGTGATCTAGGCATGTAGTGATCTAGGGGTACAGTGATCTAGACATATAGTGATCTAGGCATATAGTGATTTAGGGATACAGTGATCTAGACATATAGTGATCTAGGCATATAGTGATTTAGGGATACAGTGATCTAGACATATAGTGATCTAGGGATACAGTGATCTAGGGATACAGTGATCTAGGAATTCAGTGATCTAGGGATACAGTGATCTAGGCATATAGTGATCTAGGGATATAGCTCTACAGGGCTATAGAGATCTAGGAATATAGAAATCTAGGGGTATAGAGATTTAGGAGTGTTGGAATGTACAAATGTGGGAATCTAGGGGTATTGGTATCCAAAAGTGTAGACCTAAGTATATTAAGTTGACACTTAGTGTAATTCTGAACTATTGTAACCCCCTTTGCAACTGAAAGCCACCTTGCTAGACTTCAATACACTCTGCACTCTTCCATATATTTGACTTCCCTCTTCTATACTTTCTTTTTTAACTAAAATCTCTTCATGTGAAAACTTTAATTACATGTACCCCTATAGTGTGCACCTACTGACTTAATATCCACCATTTTTATAAACGGTCTCAGACAATAAAATATGAAAAAGTGAAACTTCTAAACAAAATATGAGCAAACTCAATATTCTAAAATTTCAATCCAGAAAACGTTGATAAAAATATTAAAAATGTCACTTGGTACAAATAATTCCCCAATATTATCTTTCTCCCCGTTTAATAATGTATCCGGCGATCTTTCCTCTAAGTCTTTCGAATCTTCGCATAAGAAGAGATTAAGCGCGATAACACGTTCTCGACTAATCTGGGTATCAAATCTTGTAGAGTGTAAATTGCAGCGACACGTGCACGCTTTATTAACGTTTCCTGCGCACTTCATGCTGAATAGCTCGTTTTTCTTTTCAATTCAAATCAGTCGATCGTAACCCAGCATTTTCCGCGTCTCGACGTTAAAATACAATTACGCGGACAAAAGTTGGCTGGAAGTTTGATTTGTAATTTGAGGGACGCGTTTTACCGGGTGTAAAGCGGGATGTAACGGGCGACCCCCAAGAACCCGTGTAGCGGATATTTTTTTCCTTTCAAACTTTTGCGAACACGACCTTTCCATTATCGCCATCTACACACAAACGTGTACGCTCGCGTATACTCGCTTTATAGGATTTTCGATAAATTGCTCTAGAACGTATAAACTTTTAGCATACCGTCAGTGTGGAAGGAAAATCTTCTAACAAATTCTCAACGGATGTTTCCTGAAAACGGATACTTTAAAATGAAAAAAAATTATCGTCTTTGTACTATGTTCTATCTTTTCTTTTTTAACATTTTTCTTGTTCCATTAAAATATTCGAATGGTGCTTTTAATCCTTGGAGAACGAATTTGGAGTCTGCAGCTGTAGAAATGTGAGCTCGCATGGAAAAACTCACGTATGTTCATGTATGTTCACATATGATCATACGTGTTCCTGTATGTTCATATATGATCGTATAGATTCATGTATGTTCGTGTATGTTCATATATGTTCATATACGTTCATATGTGTTCATATGAATATGTTCATGTATGTTCATATGTGTTCATATGTGTTCATATATGTTCATGTATGTTTATATGTGTTCATATGTGTTCATATGTGTTCGTATATGTTCATATGTGATCATATATGTTTATATGTGATCATATATGTTCTTATATACTCATAGTATGTTCATGTATGTTCATATGTGATCGTATATGTTCATATACGTTCATATATGCTCATAGTATGTTCATGTATGTTTATGTATCTTCATACATATTCATATATGTTCATGTATCTTCAAGTATGTTCATATATGTTCATGTATGTTTATGTAGCTTCATACATGTTCATATATGTTCATATGTCTTCGAGTATGTTCATATATGCTCATGTATGTTCATATATGCTCATGTATGTTCGTACATGCTCATGTATGTTCGTATATGCTCATGTACGTTTATGTATGTTCATGTATGTTGAGATATGCACATTTTTAATATTTGAATAATATTTTAGTACGTAGAAAATAGCATAGAAAAGCTGTAGAAGTCAGAGAAGCAGTTTATTAATTGGTGAGGGCGTAACCTTTTAATTGCGGCAACTTTTAACCTTTTTTAACCACTTTGCACGCTAGACAAAGGACGAAACAACGGCACGACATTCTAAAGTCCTCGCACCTTCATTATAACGAGCTTTCGAAACCTCCAATTCTCCCCAAAGGTCTTTCTCCTGGTGTGTAGATATCCTAGAATTCCGTGTTTGGATGTCGTAGTTTTCGATAAGTAAGCACGACGTAGGACGAATATTTTCAGGATACGAATCGGCGGGCGTTTCATACGTGAACGGGCAACGTACCAGCGACGAGAATCACGATAAGACGAGCAGCAACAGTGCTAGCAATTCGAACCCTTACGCGAATGCTAACGCCCCTCCCGAGCCTGCAGGAGGATACCGTCAAGTGAATTCCGGCAATTTGGGTTATCCTAGTAACACCGGCTCTAACGCCGGATATCCACCATATCCTAGTAACACCGGATCCAACAGCGGATATCCACCGTATCCTACGAATCATGGAAACCGACCGCAGGACTTAGGATATCCGCCTTATCCGACGCAAAACAGAATGCCCATGCCTGGATATCCTGGACATACCAGCTATCCAGCGTATCCCGGACAGGCTGGCTATCCAGCGCCGCCAGGATACCCGCAACAGTATCCTGGATATCAAAATTATCCGTATCCCAATACTCAGAATCGTATGCATCACAATAACGTGTACTCCGGTTTCCGCAGGGGCGCCGCCGCCACACACGCTTCCTCTTTCGCGATCGTGTGTTTCACCAGTCTCGTCATGTTTATAGTGAACAGATCGTGATCATGCTTTCCAAATTTATCGTTTATCTTGTAAATAGATATTGTACAACAGACTGTACGCCGATTATTTATATATTGTGCCTGCAATTACGAATTACGTCCAAACTGGCAGCTTGTTGCCGCGCGGTATCGATTAATTTTAAGTTGCGAGTTCGAAATCGAGAAATCATATAACTGTTTATTAATGAATCTTGAGATATATAGTTCTTAAATTTTATTTGTACATTCTTGTTGAAGTCTCTTTGAACAGGGTGTCTCACTACTAGTAGGTTCCTAAAGTGGGGGGTAGATGACGTGATTCTGAAGGATTCTGACACTTGATATCTGAAACCTGATACTTGGACTTTGAAACGTGATATTTGAAACCCGACACTTGGTATTTGAAACCTGATACTTGGAACCTGAAACTTGATATCTGAAACCTGACACTTGATACCTGAAACCTGATACTTGGAAACTGAAATCTGATACTTGGAACCCGAAACCTGACACTTGGAACCTGAAACCTGATACTTGGAACCTGAAACTTGATACTTGAAACTTGATATTTGAAACCTGATACTTGATACCTAAAACCTGATAATTGGAACTTACAAAAATCTCATTCAGAATCACGTCCCCAATTTCAGAGACCAAGTAGTCGTGAGACCCTGTACATATTCTACTTTTTAACAATTTGGACGCACATGTTTTCGTCCTCCACTAGTGGACCCTCGTTATACATCCAGTATACAGGAATTTCGATAGTGTTTCCATGACAATATAACGAGAGTCTGCTGTATAAAAATGCACGGTTTAACCCTCAAGTATTATTAATTACCATAAATAACTGAATCTCTTCATTTCTTAATCTACTTTGACCAGTCTGAATCTCTGAAGTATCGAGGGTTAATCCAGCATATATAATGAAAGTATGAGCACAATTTATTTGAAGAAATGTTTCCTCCATCGCATATAACACGATCTTCCAGAATATTAAGTTCACGAATTTCAATGAAACTGTCATCGATGTCAGAGCACGAATCCGTTACCGTGCAATATTCGTTAATGTTACATCGTTTCCGACAACATATTACGTGCCTTCCAAAGTGTCTTTCAGCACATTGTCTTCGTGTTAAGCATTTATCAAAGTAATCGTAAAAAATGAGACGACTGATTAAAATCATGGAGTTTGAGAATCTTCCAGTAGTATTTAGCATCTAGCTCGAACGTAAATGATTTTAACGAGTCGAACTTGGTACCTGATCGCGGGTTTGAGATTATTTTCACGATCTAAATTAATTCTCAGTTTCTCGGCTGTTAAGAAAATATTTTTCTCTATGTGTATGCGCATTGAAACTGTATTGACGTCTATACAATTGTGCTAATCAGACGAAATAAAAGTGATGCTGTTTCTATCGAATTCGCGGATTTGCTGTAATTACCTGTCATCCGTGTTCAACGAGTAAGCCGAAACTGGCTTTAGAATTAATTTCCTTTAAGCGAAACAAACACCGACTGATCTCATTATCGTGTCGAACCCTGACACCTCTTATCTACTTCAACAAGCGGCGTAAATCTACTTTGTAGGTCACACATTTTAAACGCTGTGCATTCTTTTGTAAGCGTCTTACAGCCTCTTTTTATAACACGCTTTTTTATTCTACTCAAAATTTTTTTATTTTAATTTTTCGTCATTTGCAGCTTCTTTTATTAGCGTGTATGGGGTTTCAAAAATGAGTTGATTTTAATTTTTTTATCATTCATTTTTTTGAAAAATTTCTCCTACCATCCTGTATACACAAAAAGCTCTGTACATTGCATTCTCTTCTTCAAAATATTAGGTTCCAAATTTCCCGTATTCAATCTGATAAACCGAAAGCAAATTGAAGAGTGGAAGTCGTAACACGATACAGGAAAATTAACAGAGCATGTCCCGAAAGTAACACCGGCATGTAATCAACTAACAAGACTATCAAAATAGTTCCCGATTTTTTTTCACAAAATTGTGAAATCGTTTTGTTGACGTCCACTCTTCAATTTGACAGTCTATCCGACAAGAAGACCAGTACATAGGCCCACACCACCACCGAGGACATCATCGAATGGATTTGGAGGGAGAACTTCTGGTAACGCAGGATCGAGGAACACCATTGGAAGCGGTTCGATTTTCGATCGCCTCTTCGGGAATCGTAAATCTTACGATGTAACAACTCCTAAACCCCCTAGTCGTCTAGGTGGCAACGGCTATTATGACACCCATACAACGTTCGACGAAAACGGGAACAGAGTCTGGAGATTCTCTGGCTAAATTTACTTTATCAGATAATTATGGGACCTGAGTTTTTTCGTTAAGTTGCTACTTTGCAGTTTAGCTCAGGTTCGACTAAATGAATTTATCTTAACTTCTTGAACAGATCTTTTAGTTTGTAAGTTGGAAACTGCAGTTATTGAAATCGTGACGACTTTATTTGGATTACTGAGGCTTCCTTTTTGTGCCATGTTACTTATCTACTTTTGATCTATATATGATGGCTGTAGTATATGATAGCAGAGATATGAATATACATGTGGAGCTGTAATGTGAATGATAGTTTAACATGATACTCTAACAAGGTCTATAAGACTTGTCTCCATGAAAGTTTGCAATTTTGCAAACGTAGTTTGAAAGTAATGTAAAATTGCTATCAAGGTTAATATCAAAGTTTAGACATTGAAATTAATATCAGAACCTAGGTACCCAGGCATCCATAAGTTCAACAGAATTGAAATTAATATCAAAGTCAAAGGAAGATTGTATCAAATAATATTTATGTTCAAATTCCAAGTGTGTATTCATGTCTTTGCTTCCACATAGATGAGCCAGGTGCATAGGTACTTAAGTAACCATACTTAAAAGCAATAATACAATGTATCGAACAAATATATCAAATATACGCATTACCAGCATCAACCCAATTTCTACCCGTCCACATCACTCAACCCAGAAAGCATCACATTAACACCTAACAGAGTACCAGAACTCGCATGACTGCAATTCGTTGCATAGCTTCCAAGGTGTAACAAAATTAATACTCAAAAGCAATACACGAATTGCGAACACGATAACACTGTGATCTCGACAGAACAGCGATTCGAGAATAGCTTGAATTCACGAATTCACAGCTTGCCACAAGAGTAAGTAACAAGTTGGACTCGGCATGGCATGGGGCCGCATTCGAACGAAAGTATTTCTAACCAATTAGGAGGTAGATAACGAAATGTTCGCAGAGTTCGAGGACGGTGATAACAAAGTAGTGGTAAGACGGCAAAGCGAGGCTGAAGGGAGTACGTCGGTTAAGGGTGGATACCCGGCAGGAAGTGGATATCCCAGTTCGAAGAGCGCTCCGTCAGAGAATCAAGGAGCGGAAGGATCTTCGAGGTCCTCAGGTTATCCGTCTGGTTCGGGATACCCTTCTAGCTCTGGTTATCCATCGAGTTCCAGAAGCTCTGGTTATCCTTCAAGCTCCTCGGACTCTGGAAGTTCTGGTTACCCGTCTAGGAGCTCTGGTTATCCTTCAAGCTCTTACCCGGACTCTGGAAGCTCTGGTTACCCATCGAGAAGTTCGGGCTCCGGTTATCCTTCAAGCTCTTACCCGGACTCTGGAAGCTCTGGTTACCCATCGAGAAGTTCGGGCTCCGGTTATCCTTCAAGCTCTTACCCGGACTCTGGAAGCTCTGGATACCCATCGAGAAGTGGCTATCCTTCGAGTTCTTCGGGGTATCCCGGTTACCCGTCGCGCAGCAGCTCGGGTTATCCTAGTGGATCGAGTTATCCTAGCGGGTCCTACCCATCGAGCTCTGGTTACCCCGGAAGACCAGCGAACGAGGAAGGAGTGAAGAGAGTGGATGCCAACTCGGTCAACGCTGCGTACCCCAGCCAGAGTCAGCCTAGGGGTTATCCTCAAAGCTCTGGGTATCCTGGTCAGTCTGGTTATCCTAGTCAGGGGTATCCTCAAGGAGGGTATCCTCAGGGAGGCTATCCTCAGGGAGGCTATCCTCAAGCAGGCTATCCTCAAGGAGGCTATCCAGGAGCTCCGCAAGGATATCCACAAGGGTATCCACAAGGGTATCCACAAGGATATCCACAAGGATATCCACAAGGATATCCACAAGGATATCCACAAGGATATCCACAGGGATATCCTACAACTAAGAAACCTAATTTCAGTGATCAGTTAACTAATATTGCGAAAGATCTCGCTGGGAAGGTTCTTACTCAGGCGATTATCGACAGAGTCGCTGCGAAACACTGAGTTGTAGTTGATGTAGATCATTGTGTAGAGGACACTGATAGTCGCACTCTCGATGTAATGCTCTCTTTTTAGTAATAAACGGTGCTTATGTGTTAAATAAAGCTTATTTACTTTTTATATGGGTTTGTTTATTTTATCCTTGTTGCGGGGTGCGTTTTTCATTCTTGATGCAGATTTTTTTTTCACTTTTTGTGGTTATTGGTCTTTTTATTTTTGAGGCGTTGTACTTTTAGTTTTGAATATCAAGTTTTTATTTTTGAAATAGGTTCGTTTTTTTATTTCTGAAATATCTTCGTCTTTTTATTTTTGAAAAATATTCAAGTTTCTTTAATTTTGGAATAAGTTCAAGTTCTTTTATTTTTGAAAAATATTTAAGTTTCTTTTATTTTTGGAATAAGTTCAAGTTTTTTAAATTTTTAAATAAGTTCAAGTTTTATTTATTTTTGAAATAAGTTCAAGTTTATTTATTTTTGAAATAAGTTCAAGTTTATTTATTTTTTAAATATATTCAAGTTTTTTTATTTTTGGAATGAGTTCAAGTTTTTTAAATTTTTGAATAAGTTCAAGTTTTTTTGTTTTTGAAATATATTCAAGTTTTTTAAATTTTGAAATAAGTTCAAGTTTTGTTATTTTTTAAAAGTATTCAAGTTTCTTTTATTTTTAAATAAGTTCAAGTTTTATTTATTTTTGAAATAAGTTCAAGTTTATTTATTTTTTAAGTATGTTTAAATTTTTTAAATCTTGAAATAAGTTCAAGCTTATTTTATTTATGAAATATATTCAAGTTCCACTCTGCATCTACCTTGCAATTTAATTTCCTATATTTTGTAAACTTGTAAACTTGAAAACTTCATAAATAAAAGTTTTTTAATTAAATATAAATATTCTTATATAACACAAAACTCTATAATTTCCCACCCCTAAATTTTCAGTTCTATTAATTTAATTTGTTGTTACTCTAAACGAAAATGGTTATTGTATAATTTAGGAGTAAATCCTAGGAAGCAGTGATCTGAATTAAGTTTACCTGACACGTTCAATTCAGATATTCAATAAAGCCACATATCTCTTGCGCCCTCCTTAATTACTATGCAATAGGTGTGCATGACACATCGTTCGAGGACAAGTCCCAGTGTAATTAACCAAATTATTTTAGACACGTTCGATATCTAATCGATTGTTGCTTGGAATCTACAGACTCCTACACACAATTTCCATCTACAAATAATATATTAATTATCTCCGCAATTGATTCGGCTAAAATCCATTTACATTTTGATTTACATTGCTGTTTCAAATTGTTCATGAATTTTAATTAATTCAGACCTGAATTGATCGAGTTGCATTTGAATCTGGTTACATCAAAGTTCATTTACATTTTGGTAAATTTGTATCCATTTTGAGGATTAAGGAAATTACTTTTTTAAAATTGTTCATAAATTTTTATTAATTTAGATTTGAATTTGTCAGGTTGGTTTTAAATTTGATTATATTAAAATTCATTTAGATTTACATTTAGGTTTTGACTTATAAAATCGTAATTTGAAATTGTTCTTAAATTTTTATTAACTCAAATTTGAATAGATCAGGTTAGATTTGAATTTGGTTACATTAAAATTCATTTTGGTAAATTTGCATCAATTTTGAGGATTAAGGAAATTGCTTTGAAATTGTTCATAAATTTTAATTAACTCAGACTTGAATTTATCAGGTTGGTTTTGAATTTGATTACACTAAACTTCATTTAGGTTTACAATAATTTGACTTATAAAATCGTAATTTGAAATTGTTCTTAAATTTTTATTAACTCAAATTTGAATAGATCAGGTTAGATTTGAATTTGGTTACATTAAAATTCATTTTGGTAAATTTGCATCAATTTTGAGGATTAAGGAAATTGCTTTGAAATTGTTCATAAATTTTAATTAACTCAGACTTGAATTTATCAGGTTGGTTTTGAATTTGATTACACTAAAATTCATTCAGGTTTACAATTACAGTTTGATTTGCAAAATTGCTAATTGAAATTGTTCATAAATTTTTATTAACTCAGACTTGAATCGATCAAGTTGGATTTGAATTTGGTTACATTAAAATTCATTTTGGTAAATTTGCATCAATTTTGAGGATTAAGGAAATTGCTTTGAAATTGTTCATAAATTTTAATTAACTCAGACTTGAATTTATCAGATTGGTTTTAAATTTGATTACACTAAAATTCATTTAGGTTTACAATTACAGTTTGATTTGCAAAATTGCTAGTTGAAATTGTTTATAAATTTTTATTAACTCAAATTTGAATAGATCAGGTTAGATTTGAATTTGGTTACATTAAAATTCATTTTGGTAAATTTGCATCAATTTTGAGGATTAAGGAAATTGCTTTGAAATTGTTTATAAATTTTAATTAACTCAGACTTGAATTTATCAGATTGGTTTTAAATTTGATTACACTAAAATTCATTTAGGTTTACAATTACAGTTTGATTTGCAAAATTGCTAGTTGAAATTGTTTATAAATTTTTATTAACTCAAATTTGAATTTACCAGATTGAATTTAAATCTGCTTACATTAAAATTCATTTTAACAAATTTTATAAATTTTGGGGAACAAATTTTACTAAAAATTAAAAAGAAAATTTTAAAAGTACGAAAGAGAGTTTTTTACGAAATACACAATTTTGTAGTTCAGTTTCCATGCGTATTACTGTGCGAAGGTACAGTCGCGCCTCCATTTTAGCGACCGAGAGATCGATAAAGCTTTGTGAAGTTCTCCAAGGGTGCTAGATGCCTCTTGTACCCTGTGTGCCGGAATTATAATACATCCCTGTTTCAGTCAAACTCGAAGACGATATTTCTTGGAGTGTGTTTCTGCGATCCCCACAGTCGTGCCGCATCCACCGTCGGTTGCGTATCTCCCTCATAATTTTCAAAATATGATACATCGTAAACCTCTACTATCAAACATTTAAAAATTCTCCACCAGAGTGTAACTCAATTATTTCTCATCCCAAAATATATAAAATTAAAATGTGTCTTTTGTGGATCATTGTGAAGTGTTAATTCCAACAAAATTTAAAGTACTTTAAATTTCAACGTTGATGTTCGAGCACGTGATTCTTTCTACGTTCATATTTCTTTAAATGAATTCTCTTAAAAATGACATTCACGAAATTTAAAAGAAAATTTTGAAGTATAATCACGTGATGTTTTGTATCGCGGGTTTAAAAATAACAAATGTTCCTTCAATTTTTGATATCTAACGGAACATTGAATCAACCGTGACCCAGAAAAGTGGCAGACCGAATACAAGCCGTGTTTAACGCGCTCATTAAATCGAACTTTAATCAAAAGAAACGTTCGAGGATGCTTCGATCGGAATTCGCGTTCTGACGAACGAAGATTTAATTTGAGAAAGTGTAAACATTGCATGATATCGAAACATGCTGGATGGTCCATCATGTTATCGACAACAAAAGTGTTTCACCGATATTCGTTCGGAGGATATTTGTCGAACGAGACTCGCAGCAATTAGCAGCGGTTGGACCAGCAATCATGAATCGATCTATCTACATCAGTTACGCCTTATCAGGCTTAATCCGTTGAAAGGAAGGGTGGATCGTTAAAGCCCGATGATATAAGCACGTGAGGACCCAGGTAATTAAATGAAGATAGTCATAAATTTCATTAATGGTCAGACAGCATGGTGCAACAACGATCTATCGGGTTTCGCTGGTTTGATGGAATTACGCTCCTTAAACTCAGCTACACTCGATATTAATGATCTATCAGAGATCTATCATTAAGGAGGATCTTAACGTGGATGTTTCATTAATGAAGATCTTTCATTAACGTAGATGTTTCATTAATGAAGATATTTTATTAATGAATCCTTCAACGTCTACCTCTGACGATTCATCAGACTTAGGACTTTATTCCAAAGATTTAGGATTTAGTAAGAATATTTTTCTCGCAAATCGAAAGCTCAGTGTCTAAGAATTAGAGATTTTACCGCCAGAATGCATCATTAATGAAGATGTTTCATTAATGAATCCTTCAACGTCTACCTCTGACGATTCATCAGACTTAGGACTTTATTCTAAAGATTTAGGATTTAGTAAGAATATTTTTCTCGCAAATAGAAAACTCTTTCAGTGTCTAAGAATTAGAGACTTTACCGCCAGAATGCATCATTATTTTCGTATCGAATTTAAGATGCGGGGATTCATTTCGGTTTGAGAACAACGTAAACAGCCCCGAGTAGAACAAAGAGTAGAACGTTCGAATAAAGGCTGTTCTACTTTCCTTTTACGTATTCAGGGGAAAAGGCGCTCTAACGCAAAGTTACGAGTTTGGAGCTTTACATTATCTGCTGTGAAATTGAATTAATTAATCATTCGTTAGGAGGGTACGGCATTATTGAAATGAGGAGCTAATGTCACACATGAAGTGCAATATACTATCATCTTTTTTTTGTATTTATTGTACATCTCTGTATTGTGTGTCTCTGTAAATTTAAAATATAGAATATACTTGAAAATTTTTACTTCAGAATTTATGATCTACCAAACGCACCCATAATCCCAGCGTTTCGCTTAAAAATGCAACGATCTGTTCGAAAATGCAATAAAAACCAGCCATCATTTTTTTACAGAACCAGAAATCTGGAATAAAAGCATAATTTTTTCCCCAACGTTCTTCTTGTTTTGTATTTAAATTTTATTGCGTTCAAAGACTTTAATGGGCGTTTCACGAATCCGTTGTAACGCGTTCTGAATGGGATATGATTTACTACGTCACGTACAAAACTTTCCGACACGTTAAATCGTTCGGAATTTCTAATTTTGTTTAATCACTTCGTAGCGACTTTATAATTGCCCTAACGTGGATGAATGTTAAATAAAGAATCATTTTGGCTGCAGGACAAAAGCAAGGGATCACGCACGTGCTCTATGCGTGACCTGAATTTTGATCGGGCGATTGATTTTTTATTGCTTCTCGATTTTTATGCAGGGATTTGATGAGAATTGCAGGGAAAATTGTAGTTCTGCGATTCAGTGTGGGAGGAGAGGAAAATTTGATGTATGGTCATTTATATAGCGGTTGTGATGTATGGTCATTTATGTAACGGTCATGATGTAGGGTCATTTATCTAGCAGTCATGGTGTATGGTTATTTATATAGTCGTCATGATATACGGTCATTTATTTAGTAGCCATGATGTATAGTCATTTGCCTGGCGGTCATGATGTACGGTCATTTATCTAGCAGTCATGTTGTACGGTTATTTATATAGCGGTTATGATTTACGATCATTTCTCTAACAGTCATGTTGTATGGTCATTTATATAGTGCTCATGGTGTAAGGTCATTTATTTAATAGTCATGATTTACGGTCATTTGTCTGGCGGTCATGATGTACGGTCATTTATCTAGCAGTCATGTTGTATGGTTATTTATATAGTGCTCATGATGTAAAGTCATGTATTTAATAGTCATGATTTACGGTCATTTGTCTGGCGGTCATGATGTGCGGTCATTTATCTAGCCGCTACATGTGCTCTTCTCAAACCATAAGAGAAATAATTCAGTATGTGAATTTCATCCGATTAGAAGCTAAATCAGGTGGAAAGCAATAAATCTTGATATTCTGAAGATCTCTGTGCAACTATGACGTGGCAATTATTCTCTTCCCATCGATATACTGCAACAGACACATCAAAACTATTATATCACTATAATCCTGAATTTTTCTCCCGATTCTTTCATAACACATAAACTTTCAAACAGTTCAATATAGTCGATCAAAAACTCATCAACGCAGAACGGAAGTCAGAAACGTTCTTACTTCTCCCATTTCGAGTAAATGCTTTGTGTCTCTGGGTAATTTAACTTTGCTGTTTAGTAAGGGGATCTCCGTATAAACGAAACTGATTATGATTTATTCCCGCTGGCTCTGTCGGATCTCAGATGCTGTTTAAACTTCTTAGTTTGTTTAGACGTACTATTAGCGCGAAGACAATAATCCAGCAGCACTCGATGAATATTTATTATAATTCCGGAAATACTCATGACAGTGACTTTTCGTTTTCAGAAAGTTCGAGGAAAGAAGATGTACAAAGAAGTCAGAATCTTAAGAGATATCGAATTTTTTCACAAAATGTACGAGAAATGACACGCATCGAAAAGTGTAAAAAATGACGTCTATCAAAAAGTGTAAGAAATGACATGCACGAAATGCGCGTGAAAGGAGCATTTCCTCCTCGGAAATATAAACGTTAAAATTTGTCCGCCTGTCCAGCGTGGTTTCGCACGAAATGCGTCCATAAATCAGCCCGATTTCGCAAGACCGCAATTCAATTTTCAAGATTTGTAGTCGGAAAGATGGAGGTCTTTCAGGACAATTTTATCGCTAATCTCAGTAACACCTCTCGGCCGATGTACAACGAAATGGAGGAAATAGACGAGTTCGATTTCGATCGTCAACAAGTGGAGCAGATCGTGGAGATCGTGGTGCCAATATGTTTCGGCATGATCGGCATCGTCGGACTCATCGGCAACTTTCTGGTGGTGATCGTGGTGGCCGCCAATCCTGGCATGAGATCGACTACGAACATTTTAATCATCAATCTGGCGGTGGCCGACCTGTTGTTCGTCATTTTTTGTATTCCGTTCACTACCACCGACTTTGTGTTGCCTTATTGGCCGTTTGGGAACGTGTGGTGCAAGATTGTGCAGTACCTCATCATCGTCACTGCGTTCGCCAGCGTTTATACGCTGGTTCTGATGAGCCTTGATAGGTGAGTTTGCATGATTTAGTAAAAAACAGACATCTAGTAATTATATCAGAACTTGTCAATATATTAAACATTGTACATGCATGAAATCTGATAAACTTGTCATATATGACAAACATCTTATTGAATTTTGAACATGAACTTAAACCTTGCAAGCATACCAGACCTTGTCAATATATTAAACATAGTACATACATCAAGTCTGGTAAACATGTCATATGTGACAAAAGTCTTATTGAACTTGAAACATGCATTCAGTGCTATCAAACCTTGCAAGCATATCAGACCTTGTAAATATATTGAACATTGTACAAGCATCAAGTTTGGTAAATGTATGAAACTTTGCAGCCATATAAAATCTTGTAAAGAGGTGACATGTACGGTCATTTATCTAGCGGTCATGATGTATGGACATTTATCTAGCAGTCATGATGTGTGGTCATTTATCTAGCAGTCACTATGTATGGTCGTTTATTTAGCAGTCATGATGTATGGTCATTTATCTAGCAGTCATGATGTAGGTCATTTATCTAGCGGTCATGATGTACGGTCATTTATCTAGCAGTCATGATGTACGGTCATTTATCTAGCAGTCTAACCACATATGAAACATGAATTAACGTCTGTCGAACCTTGCAATTATATCAAATCTTGTAAATGTACATCTTCCAAATGTATCAAACCCTTATTAAACCTTCTAAACACCAAACTTGATCTAATCACATTTGAAAGAACAACACCATAAATTGCTGGTTCTTTAAGTCATTAATTTGATATGTGTGATGAAATCCCAGCAGTATCTTTCGAAATGTACAATTTGATATGCAACAACCCGCACGGCTAACAAATCTGAAATGCAGATAACCCATTTGAATAACGCATTCGAAATTGCATTAAAAAATTCTAACACCGTAGCAATAGAGTCACATACATATTTATTGAAATTATTAAAAATTTATCGTAAGATATGCTTGTCGGATAACGTTTTTTTTCGATTTGACAAGAGATAAATTGAGAAGCAATTATGCATGCAGGTAATAGGATAATAGGCACGTGTGGAGACTCCGATAATCGTGCGATCTTAAAGATATTCGAAGGAGGAGATTGCGTAAGAAAATTCGATTCGCGTAACATGCAAAGGATGTAATCTATTCTTGCCTCATAGGTATCAGCAGTATTTCCGGTTACGTTTTCAAATACCGTATGGTGTGCAGTGATGTAGACGGTAGAATCACGTGCTTTGCGCAGCACGTGTAAAGGATTCCTGATTCTGCCTCGGAATTCGCATTTTATTCCCTAGGAGAATTTTCCGCGAGTTCCCACTTTCGTGTCTTTCGTTTACTATAATTCTATATTAAAATAGATTCTCTATTAAAATTTAAACATGTATACCACACAATTTTTAAATGGCCCATAATCTATTTATATGGACACAGTCAAATAGTATTACGATGTAGTTTCGGTAACAGTTAATGACATTTGGAAACACGAGGCACATTCAGTCGTTCATTATACAACGCGTAATTACCAAACTGGCTATTTTGCGCGGTTAATGACATTCGTTAACAAATAATACGTATAACGTTCACCTTTGGCATAGTTCTTCCGTCACGAAATTGCAATTAACAACTAGGTTAATCTCGAATGTCTGGCAGCCTGCATTATTCAATTCATTGGCTTTCATCCAAATCAGTTAGCATCAATGATTCTCTGTTTAATTCATTCAACGTACAATGCGGGATATTTTGATAATAGGTTCCTATATTACTAATCCGTAATTGGTATTATTACATTAATTAGGAAGTTTTATTAATTTTTCAACGGTGGGCGTTTGTTGAGATTTTATGTTTGTATATTAGTATGAAGATGGAACGAGTGTATGTGGATTTTTCATATGTGGAGTTTTTATGCATTGTGTGATTCATGTGGGGTATTTTCATGTGTGATATTTCTACGCGTTGTACTGTCATGCGTGGTATTTTCATATGTGGTATTTCCACGCGTGGTATTCTCACATGTGGTGTTTCCACGCGTGGTATTTCTACGCGTGGTATTTCCACGCATGGTATTCTCATATGTGGTATTACCACGCGTGGTATTTCAACGCATGGTATTCTCATATGTGGTATTTCCACGCATGGTATTCTCATATGTGATATTTCCACGCATGGTATTCTCACTTATGAATTTTGGAGATGTTATATTTCTATTTTCACGCGTCGTATTTCCACGCTCTGTATTTCCACGCGTGGTTTATCCACGCAGTAAAATTTCCACACGATCAAATTTCTACGCGTACTATTTCCACGCGTCAAAATTTCTACACTTAATATTTCCACGCGTGGTATTTCCATGCGCTGTATTTCCACGCGTGGTATTCCCACGGGCTGTATTTCCACGCATGGTATTTCCACGCGCTGTATTTCCATATGTGGTATTTCCACGCGTGGTATTCTCATATGTGGTATTTCCACGCGTGGTATTCTCATATGTGGTATTTCCACGCGCGGTATTCTCATATGTGGTATTCCCACGCGTGGTATTCTCACGCGTGGTATTTCCACGCATGGTATTCTCATATGTGGTATTTCCACGTGTGGTATTCTCATATGTGGTATTTTCACGCATGGTATTCTCACATGTGTGGTATTTCCACGCGTGGTATTCTCATATGTGGTATTTCCACGCATGGTATTCTCATATGTGGTATTTCCACGCGTGGTATTCTCATATGTGGTATTTCCATGCGTGGTATTCTCACATGTGATATTACCACGCGCGGTATTTCCACGCATGGTATTCTCATATATGATATTTGCACGCGTCGTAGTTTCATATGTGGTATTTCCACGCGTGGTATTTTCATACATCGTTATTCCTACGTGCTGTTATCTCTACTCGTTGTTATTTCCACATATTGATATTTCCACGTGTTATTATTTCTACGCGTTGTTATTTCCACATATTGATATTTCCACGTGTTATTATTTCTACGCGTTGATATTCCTCCATGTCGAATTTCCGCCCTTTCTTATTTTGATAGATTATTATTTCCACACATTGCTATTTTTACACGTTGATATAGTAAACTACATAGTTCAACTATTACTTCGAAAACTATTATTTCTATCATGATCTCTACATGCACACTTCCTAATATGCTAATTTCCTGCATTGGAGAAATCTGTTGTCAACATCTGTGGCTCGAACTTTGCGGCCCGAAAGGCACCCGACAGAACCCACCCTGACAAAACACACATAACCCACTTTACACAAACTTTCAATTCTCTAACACTATGTCATAACAGTTTAACACCAAAAATATTATTATCTTTGTTACAGGTATTTGGCAGTGGTTCATCCAATAAGTTCGATGTCATGGCGGACAGAAAATCACGCGATCCTCGCGATCTGCATCGCATGGGCGGTGATTTTTACAATATCCACACCCGCCCTAGTTATCCACGGCGAGGTAAGCTCCTAAATAATTATTCACAATTTTCCCTCGATTTTTCGTGTAATTACGCACAATTTTTCCTGGTATTTTATCCTTTCCGACTAATCCAACGCATTTCTACGGTTTTATACGTTTCCGATATGCCCGTAATCGAGCCAGAATTTCCGCTTGATTACCAGTTTGCCGTGCGTGCGTCGATATCCAAGACTAATTCCTTTCTGTTATCGGACACAGAGATTCGATTTTTTTGAGGATATTCTCATCCGCTTTTTTTATCGCTACGCTGATTCGGTTTGCCGCGATCAGACTGCGTGAACGCGAAATATTTTGTCTAACCAATAGTCTCTTTTTTTATTCACTTCAATCCAGTTTATTCGTTATCGATTTTGCTGATAGGATTAGCTGTATGTACGACAAAATTATTAACTGCACTATTAACTATGAGGTACCATTATCTCTACATTTTGTATAGATTTGTTGTGCTTTTTAAAAAAATTTTGTTTGATGAATTTTGTTGACAATACTTGAGAAAATATGGGGTTGGAAGTTGATGAAAAAATGAACAATTTTGTTTAAGTTTCACAACGTATCTTTGTACTCATCCAGAAATGATTTTCTAAAAATTTATTAATTATTTTAAAAATTATTTTTAATATTTCGCAAAAGGTGGAAGCTTAAAATTATTTAAAAGATTAATATTTTTGTCTAATTAAATTTTGTAGGATAATTATTATCTCCTGTTATAAATATACATTATCTTTTTCGTCCAAACGTGATTTTTTAAAAGATCATAAATTTTGCTCACACGTTTCATTAATATCCGAGGACATGTGACGGATTAAAGTTGATGGAAAGATAGATTAACATTTTTGTAGCGGTATTTCCGTAATGGCGCTAGAAAATTTAAACGGATCGAAGGAAAATTCAGCGATGTCATCTATCTCGTTATTCCCCAATGAGTGTTCTCACAGTAATTACTTTCGGATGAAATGAACGCAGTCAACTGAGCGACGTAATCGCTCCACTAGAACGTCCGCTGTGAAGTCGCGAATTTAAAATAGTGCTTTTATTTCTCGTGTTTTATGAATTACGTTCATTGGGACGTTCCGAACGCGTTCAAAAAGTTATTCACGACCTCTATATTTAACTTTCTTTGACGTTGTCAATGTTGAGGAATTTCTATTCTTTAAACCGTGGTAGATACGACCTTTTGTGAGAAGAGCAAACTTCTTTAGAATGGGCATAAACCCCTAGAAAAATTGTTAGGAGTCACGAAATGTGGTTAGGGGGGCTGGTATGGAGGTGAATCGTCAGCGAGTCAAAGTAGTATAAAATCCTTGCTGTAGTACTCACAGGCCAAACCGTGCTAGATACGACTTTTTGTCAGAGAAGAAAACTTGTTCAGAATGTGCCAAAGCCCCTAGAAAAACTGTCAAAAGTCCCAAAATATGGCTGGGAGAGTAGTATGGAGAGGGGAGCGTCAGGAGGAGTGGTATAGGGAGGGGAGCGTCAGGGAGTCCAGAACCCCTGCCCTAGTACTCACAGGCCAAACCGAGCTAGTTACGACTTTTTGTCATAGAAGAAAACTTGCTTAGAATGGGCCAAAACCCCTAGAGAAATTGTTAAAAGTCCCGAAATATGGCTAGGGGGGTGGTATAGAGAGGGGAGCGTCAGGGAGTCCAGAACCCCTGCCCTAGTACTCACAGGCCAAACCGAGCTAGTTACGACTTTTTGTCATAGAAGAAAACTTGCTTAGAATGGGCCAAAACCCCCAGAAAAATTGTCAAAAGTGCCAAAAAGTGTCTAGGGTGGTGGTATGTGGATGTAGTACCCCCAGCGACCTATTACTATAATAAATGAAACTACTATGTTATTTTTACATTTCTATCTCAATCATCACCTTAATTTCAGCTTAAATAAAATAAAATTAATTAATCCGTAGTATTTGTTAGATACAGTGTGTATGTAGATCCGCTTTAGTTTCAGGACGTGAACGATTCGTCATCGGAGAACCTGACGGCATGTCGAGTCTTGTCACAATATGATTGGCCGTACTTCCAAATTTCGTTTTTCCTGCTGAGTTATCTGCTGCCGCTGATGCTGATATGCTTCTTTTACATTTGCATGCTCGTCAGGCTATGGCGCGGCGGACGTGTCAGCGCCGAGAGTCGACGCGGAAGAAAACGAGTTACGAGGCTGGTGCTCGTCGTCGTCGGCGTTTTCGCCTTTTGTTGGTGTCCTATACAGGTTTGTATCGCGAACAAACTATCCGACGAAACTTAACAATGTCACAAAAGCGACACTGAAATTTTCGACTCGGGACCTTTTGATCCTGCGACGGCATTCTTACGGAAGAACCCGTAGATTCAATTCTCTCCGCTCCTTTTCGTATTCTTACTTTTCTGTTGGCAAATTTGTCTATTGGGAATTTTAATACCATTAATAGTTAAATTTTATGAATAATTAAGTTGTTGAATCTTTCTGATATTGATTTTGAAATTCTTAAGTTTCTTACGGTTCTTGAATTTTTTAAATAATTTGTATTATTAAATTTTTTACATCAAATTTCTATATCTGATATCCTCAAATTATCAGTCAATTACCTACTCCTCATCAACAAAGCCAAAGTTTTAAAATACAAAAAAAACTTTATAACTAAAACAAATTAACCATCCCCAAATGGAAGTAAAAGGTGTTCATACGTTTCAATAAAACGTTATCTACCGCCCATAAAATGACATAACTTTCGCCTACAAAATAAATCGCAAAGTATTTGCCTTTTCTATCGCGCTTCGATTTCCTGTTGTGCTCGATACACGAGCAACGGAGTTCCAAACAACGGTATTTTACACGGGAAACTCAATAAACATGGTATATCCGATATTTTGTAAAATCGTGAAAAATGCAACGCTCACCGTGAAATCGCAGACAACAGGAATCGTAACCGATGATATCCTGTGTTCCACTTTTTTCGCGAGTAACAAACATACCAATCATCCGCGCATTCACCGATGAATTTTTGTAATTTAGTTTATTTTATAATCAAGTTTATTCCACCGGGAAAAAATATTTCCTTTATTCGGAATATTTTTTCTTATTGCTTTTATTCAAACGAGATTAACCCGTTCACGTTCTTCATTTAGTTTCTAATAAAACGAAGGTATTTAATTACGTCTGGAAGTATTTTAAGCACGAAAGCTTAAAAATGAGAAGCTGGTCGATAAACCCCCGTTCAATATGTCCCATTACTCACGAAATCCCCCGAATTACCAAATTTCACCGCATAATTTCCTTTTGCAATTTATCTTCCATCTCCATTACCACCAATAGCATACCAGTTAATTACATTCCGCTCGTATCGCTCGTAAATTTTTCCTATCGTTAGCCTCCCTTCAAATGTTCTGCGAAACACACGCCTGCTATTCAATCCCCTGTCATTATTTTCCATCGACACTCTGCTGATTTATGTGACAGCCACCGTGATTTTATCTCCGACAAATTATTCGACTCCGACAGTCCCTTCGTAATCCTACGCTTAGAATTTTCTGTTTCGGGTAATTAGGGGACGAATTGCTAGATCGTTAAATTGCGTTTGCTTTCGTTTGGGGTTATGATTTTTGGGAATTTGGGAAGTTCGAAATTTGTGGATTTGGTAATTTGGGGATTTTGGAATTGTATCTGCTATTAATAATAATAATTATGTTTTCACGAATCTAATCTCTGTCTCTCTGTTCTGTTACAAAAGATAATCCTGGTAGTAAAGTCTCTGGAGGTGTATCCATTGACAACAGCGACGATAGTGATACAAATAGCGAGTCACATTTTGTCATACATGAACAGCTGTGTCAATCCTATTCTCTACGCTTTCCTCAGCGACAGTTTTCGGAAAGCATTTCGGAAAATAATTTACTGCAGACCTCGGCCTGATCAGAACAAGCAGTTGGGACCACTGACGAAAACTACGAGAGCTGCCAGTACCGGTGACGTTCTTTAGGTGAGTCTTTTCATTATTTTATCTCTCATTTATTCTTTTTTTCATTTCTATAATTATTTCCTTTTATTTTTTTTTTTGAACATGACAAATTTCTTTTATTTTACATGAAAATTACTGATTTAGTTGTTGCTTGCTGCAGATGTTACATAAAATATTTTCGAAAGAAACCATAATCTAACTTGACTAGCTAAGAAACCATAATCTAACTTGACTAGCTAAGAAACCATAATCTAACTTGACTAGCTAAGAAACCATAATCTAACTTGACTAGCTAAGAAACCATAATCTAACTTGACTAGCTAAGAAACCATAATCTAACTTGACTAGCTAAGAAACCATAATCTAACTTGACTAGCTAAGAAACCATAATCTAACTTGACTAGCTAAGAAACCATAATCTAACTTGACTAGCTAAGAAACCATAATCTAACTTGACTAGCTAAGAAACCATAACCTAACTTGACTAGCTAAGCAACCATAACCTAACTTGACCAGCTAAGCAACCATAATCTAACTTGACTAGCTAAGAAACCATAACCTAACTTGACTAGCTAAGCAACCATAACCTAACTTGACCAGCTAAGCAACCATAATCTAACTTGACTAGCTAAGAAACCATAATCTAACTTGACTAGCTAGGCAGACATAACCTAACTTGACTAGCTAAGTAACCATAACCTAACTTGACTAGCTAAGCAACCATAACCTAACTTGACTAGAATACACCTAACCTTACAAACACAGTTTATAACAAAATTAGTAAAATTTCTCGTGTTTACAATTTGCTCTTGAGTCTCAAAGAATATTGAATAGTCGCAACATTCGTTTCCTTTAAATAAATCTCTGTTAAACAAAATATATGCCCTGTGATTGTGCAAAAGTGAATTAACAAATTTCTAAAAAATATTGTCACTCAAGTAATCATATGAATGTTTCACCCAAAGCGCTTCAAAGTTACATTTCAAATTACGTAGCTTAATTATGTAGATAGCAATTAAAGCTCAGTAAACATCCATCGTTCTTTCGCCCAAGGGACGCGTTAAAATAAAATCTCGTTGCGGTCGAAAATATGGAGCCGACAATACCCAGAAACCATTCGGTAAAGCAGCTTCAATTAAGGTTTCGAACGTAAGACGATCGATTAAGAAACGCCGTTAGTCTTTCGCTTCTTTTTTTACCTCCAGCCGTCCTCCAAAAAGGCTTCCTTTGTATCGCGAGCTGAGGTGGTCTGAAAACACATCTTTTCCTTTCTTCGCTCCTTCAGGCGCTACTTGTGTCGCTGCAGGCGTAGATTGTCAAGTCGAAAATGCAACGCCATCAAGGCTATCCTCCTAGGAACATCTGCGTTATCCTGGCCTTGCTCTTTACTCTGTACATTATGCTCCCTGCTATTTCATGGCAGCACTCACCTGCGCCGTATTTTTCATTTACATTTTTTATAGGCGTACTTTCATCGATTAAAGACGTTCTTCGATTAAGGACGCAAAGTTTCACGCTTGGTTGACGCACCTATCTGACGCACTTGGCTGATGTACTTAGCTGACGCACCTGGCTGACACAATTAACTGACGCACTTAACTGACGCAACTGGCTGACGCACCTAGGTGACACAATTAACTGACGCACTTAACTGACGCACCTGGCCTGACGCACCTAGCTGACGCACTTAGCTGATGCACCTAATTGACGCACCTAATTGATGCACATAGCTGACGCACTTACCTGATGCACTTACCTGATACAATTAACTGACGCACTTAATTGACGCACCTGGCTGACGCACCTAGCTGACGCACCTGGCTGATGCACCTAGCTGACGCACCTAATTGATGCACATAGCTGACGCACCTGGTTGACGCACTTACCTGATACAATTAACTGACGCACTTAATTGACGCACCTGGCTGACGCACCTAGCTGACGCACTTAGCTGATGCACCTGGCTGACGCACCTAGCTGATGCACCTAATTGATGCACATAGCTGACGCACCTGGTTGACGCACTTACCTGATGCACTTACCTGATACAATTAACTGACGCACTTAGCTGGATGCACCTAGCTGACGCACTTAGCTGACGCACCTAATGAAATCAGCCCTTAACCATCATGAAACCTCAAAAAAAAAGTAGACATTTGTATCATCAAGAAACGTTTACGCGTTCGCTATCCCATTTCACTACGAATTCCACCCAGCAAACCCCCGGCGCGGTTCACCCTTTTCTCATCGCACAAAACCTCCGGGAGCAGTACAGTCGGATGTTGTGCAGGCTTTTGTAATTTATGTTCGTACCTATTTCGCAACCAGCAGACATTCAGGCTTCCACGATGTAAGTTATATCGTACGGTATCAGTAAGGATGAAGATCGTGAGCGAAGGAGACGCGTAACCCGAGGAAAAGAGGAGAAACCACCCGTTTCTGTTTATTCAGCCGGCGGATGAAACAAAGCTTCGGTGCTTTGTCGACCCTCAATGGCCACCTTGATGTTGGCAGTCTACGCGAGATTCTTGTCTTGGGAATACGGAGCTATGCGACCGAGGAAATCAGTGGAATCGCTTTCTCGCCGGATGTCAATTGCGACAGTTTGCAGCTTTTGTCCTTGATTGGGGGTGAGGGACGGGCAATTAGGTCGTTGAGAAATATCTGGATTTGTAGCTCTTTGGAAGGTAGTCTTTGAATTTTGTCGAGGTTAGTAATTTCTGAGTTTCTGTATTTTCAGAATTCTAAGTTTGCTAATTTCTATGCTAGATTTCCAAGTTTTCAAGTTTCTGCACTCCTAAATGCAACTGAAGATTTCTACGCTCACGGAATTCTAATTTTCCAAGTTTCTACACTCTCAAGTTTCTACATCTCCTAAATTTCTACGCCCCCAAATTTCCACGCCCCCAAATTTCCACGCCCCTAAATTTCTACGCCCCCAAATTTTCACGCCCCCAAATTT